CTATGAGGCATTCGACTATTCTTTTGTAAATATTTCTACTCGAATTCTTTTGTATCTGTCTTTCTATTATTATTATTCTCTGTGAAAATATTTGGAACAGTGTATTCAAATTGTTTTGTATTCAATTCTATCGCTATCAATAACTTTTATTACTTGTACTTTCCAGTAATCCTTATTAATATTTCAGCTTCGCGTACTAACTTCTTGCAATTTTACGCATAATTCATCGAAACTCCTTATGGACATTCGAAAATAATTAAAAAATTTGGAGCTATCCTCTCGCAGCTCATGAAATACTGTTACAAATTCACCCATCAATTGTCCGTTTTCAAGTAGTGGATGAATCCAAAATCTTCTTGTTTTCTGTGTTTTTCTGCGATTATGCCATATCATTAGTAACAACATGCCTTTTTTTTTTCTTTCGTCCATTTTGGTCACGTATCAAAACAAAACTAAACCAGCAGTGAAAATCCATGTGCAGTGTGAACGCAAAGCAAATGAAATTACGGTACGGCACGGCACGGTTGCCGTTAGAAAACCATCTGTGTGAAAGCAGGGTTAGAGGCCAGAATAGGCTCAACATTTTCCAGTATAGGCTTTGCCGTACTCCTGGCTAAGGCCCTGATCTCCACATAACCATATTACGTATTCCATTTTACCGATTTAGTAAAACCTGTTAATCGCATTCCATAGTCTAGTTTTTTGTTTCTCGGATTTATTTAATTAAAGATTACTTCTTAGGATAAAACACAACGTCCGTGTCTATCGTTTGGGAATTCGNTAAATTTTGTAACAAATGAAGATACTGATGTATCACGTTAATTTTTCATACTTTAAAGAGAGTAAAATTATTTTAGTTGAATTGGAAGTTAAATATTTTACTGTTATTTATTCTATAATTTTATAGTTTTCATTAGGATATCGCCGATAAATAAATCATATTGATCGATTGATTGTTTTATTCGTTTTATGCACTTCTTTACGTACAGGGGTTGGAGGATTAATCCTTATCCTCCAGTTCTGATTTCCTTCCAACAAATTTAGACCTTTCGTTTTTAGCAATTTTTGCTTTACACTATACATGTTACCGGAAATGTATGAAATCTAGGAATTGTATACATTATATTCATTTTATTCACAGAAAGCATTCGTTTTATACATTTCCTAGTACAATTTCTAAGAAATGTATTGGGATCCATCAAATGGGCATACACCATTTGGTGGCAAAATTTATAACTAGAACGAGGGAAAAATTTACATAGGAACTGTGCACGCAAATTGTAAAATTGTTTATTAAAATAATAAAACACGTTAAAAAAGTAAAAATTTTTTTGATGATGGAGTCGACGAAGTTTTCTTCTAAAGTTAAATCAAATAAAAAGTTAATATGTTCAGTGAAAAGCTGCAATAGCACTTCAGACATAGATCTTCACTCTTCACCTACATTAACTACTTTCCAATAAAAACTAACCGTTTTATATATGTAAAAAATATATTCGGAAAATTAGAGAAAAAAGTAAACTAATAGAAGCTTGGATGAAAGCAGTAGGTATCAAAGAAGTGAATTCCGGAATAAAAATTTGTTCACGTCATTTTAATGCACATGATTATATTTCAGCAAGTATTTACCATCAGCCATAACCTTAATATTTAAAACTAGAATCATACTAAAATTATAAAGTGAGAAATTATTTATTCCTGTGTAATTGATTTAACACAATTCTAATGATACGATATAAGTATTTTGAGGTTAAGAACCTACCTGCTGCAATACAACAAAGTTGCAATAATGTGTTTGCAACGTTCTCTTAAATCGGCTTTGCACGTGCAAGTCATTGATATGATATTGCTTAAATCACCCAGAATCACCTCACCAATTATATAACGTGAATCACTTTTTAAATCCGAAGTTTGTAAAAAGTAGGCAGTAAACTTGACGGAATTTGAAGGCTAGCTTCCGGATTTGTTATTTCCGAATTTTATAATGTGATTGGCATTAAAAACACGCTCACCTTCAACGAAATTTCCTTTCCGAGGCTTTGTGTCAGCCCAATCACATATTGTGTTAATACTTATCATTTTATCGTAATTTAAAAACTTGGAAATTGCACGGTACACTATAGGAACTACGATAAATTTTCCCTAATCGGCGCCATGTTTTTAAGCTCCTCTCATTTGACGGATCCCAATACAATTCTGAGGCTATTCAGGAAATCTATAAAGTATTGTTTAAAAAAATATTTTTTAATGCACACATATCCTGGGAAATATATACATTTCCTAGGAATTGTATGAAATTCTGATATTGTACTAAAAAATGTATAAAACCAATGCTTTCAGTAAATAAAATTAATAAAACATGTTAGTAAACAGAGAATCAGAATTAATCAATGCCATTGCCTAATGTATATGTATTGGTGACGTTATTGTTTGGTTAGGTTAGGTTTGGAGATGTATATGCATTAGTGACGTTATTGTATGTTTACTAGGTACATTTATGACAGACTGCAGAGGCGGGCTGGTATGTTGGAATAACGTCTTCGAAAGTATCTCTGTGCCCAACATATAGATGTATATGAAAGTGATCAGCATTATCACCTATACAACAAAAAAATTTAGGTCATCGTGTTTGCTGAAACAAAGATAATCTCGTCACAGTATTCTAACATCTAACATATCAGCCCGCCTTCGGCGGGCAGGGGTATTAACAATACTCCGGTCTGTCATATCTCCCTAACCAAACAATGACGTCACAAATGGATATAGGTACATCTTCAAACAGCCTGCGGTATTATTGCCTACTAAGTGTGACCTGTAATACATTTCCGATAGCTATTTAGAAAATGTATACATTTCCTAGGAAATGTGTCTAATATAATTTATTTCACACATTTCCAGGCAATTTTAAGAATTATATACATTTTCAGAGAATTGTATGTAATGACGGACTTTATACATTTCCGGTAACATACATAATACTATTCGGTTACTCGAACACCTTCTAGGTAAGGCGAGGTAGAACAAATACGTCTGCGAGACGCAGCAAACTGCCTCGGTCTTTCTGAGGCTTTCGGACTCTTTTCATTTCTAATCGGTACTTAGAAAAGAACTTAATTTTTTGTGGATAGCATTTGTGCATAAGTACCTCATTTCGTTCATTTTAATAATAGTCGTTGTCACTAGCCATTGTCTACAATTTATAGATTCCGGAGAAATAATTAAAGGTATTCATAAAAATATCTTTTTTTTTGAGTTAATTAGAATTCCTTTGCATTTGGGAATATCAAAATTATGCTGATTATAGACGCTTCAAAGAAGGACAATTCAATTGAAGGGTAGTAGATCACAATCGGTGAATAATATGTTTAAATAATTGCAAGAAATCGCCGTGATTTGCAAAATTTTCAAGTATTTTTCATATATTAAAAAAAGAATTTAAGTAAAGTAAAGTATATACCTGTAGTTTTAAAAAAGATGTGACACTTAAATTGCGGTAATTTTAAAAAAAAAATATTCGTCTATGAGGCATTCGACTTGTTTATTAAAAAAGTAAGTTGATCTATATTTTTCAATCCTTATTTTCACGTTCAAAATAGAGATGGAAAAAGCAAGAAACTTTGAGGATATGTTTTACTAATAAATTTTGTAACAAATGAAGATACTGATGTATCACGTTAATTTTTCATACTTTAAAGAGAGTAAAATTATTTTAGTTGAATTGGAAGTTAAATATTTTTTTTCTGAATTACCAATTGTTTATTTATGCTGCTTGCCACAGATATGAGAACATCTCTATTGGGCGGGCGGGCCTTATCTAATCTAACAATTATTATCTAATCTAGCAATTTCAAAAACATACCGACTAAAAATCGGCTGTATTTCAATTAATTTTGGTTCGATCTGGACATTGTTTTTAAGTGCAGCCCTTGAAAATAATAAAAGTAGCTTTATCACTATTGTCAAAATTACGCAATTTTTATGACAAAAAACTTTTTATTACTTATTTATTATTAAATCATATACCTAGCTTTTAGTGAAAACATTTTTGTTTATCTTCAATAAACAATTTTTGACTCTGCCTGTTATACTGTTTCTGAATTTATTTTTTTATTTATTTATTACTACTTGAACGTTTAAAATTAGTATTTTTAATAACTGCTGACTAAAACAAATCGGAATGCGAGAGATGCAGATGAAAAATGTTAGTGAGAAATACCCACTAACAGTTGCAGGAAAGTATGAGTGAGAAATGCCAACTGAAATGATTTTGGGAGATATTTCTTCGAAAATATAAATCAGTTTGAATAATTTTAACCTTACATTTTTCAGATCCTCAAATCTGTTCAACTGTATTGACCACTTTTTTATAATCTTCAAAACCGTCTTAAACACATATTTGCAAGTACAGTAGCAACCCTTTATTCTATCAGTTAAATAATTCAATATCATTTTCATGCATGTACTTATATTTATTGCAGCGTACACGCTAGGAGTTTTGTACGATTTCTTAATCGTTGAAGATTATCGGCCAGACAAAAGGGCCGTGCTACTTTACTGGCCAAGGAATAATTTCGACTGGGGCATTCCTTATGTAGTCGTTAAAGACTATTAACTGTTATTTATTCTATAATTTTATAGTTTTCATTAGTTTATCGCCCATAAATAAATCATATTGATCGATTGATTGTTTTATTCGTTTTAAGCACTTGTTTACGTACAAGGATTGAAAGAGTAATCCTTATCCTCCAGTTATGATCTCCTTCTAACAAATTTAGACCCTTCGCTTTTAGCAATTTTTGCTTTACATTGTACATGTTACCGGAAATAAATGAGATCAAGGAATTGTATATATTTCCTAGGAAATGTATACAATTCCGAGGCTATTTAGGAAATCTATAAAATATTGTTTCAAATATTTTTTAAATACACAAAGATCAAGGAATTGTATATATTTCCTAGGAAATGTATACAATTCCGAGGCTATTTAGGAAATTTATAAAATATTGTTTCAAATATTTTTTAAATACACAAATATCCTGGATTAGATTATTGTTCACAAATAGTTTTAGGGAAATGAGAAGATTAACGCAGAATAGGAAAGAGCGGAGGTGCGTGTCCAACAAGTCTTAGGACTGACGACCTTATGATGATATGATGATGACATATTCTGGGAAATGTATACATTTCGTAGGAATTGTATGAAATTCCAAAATTGTACTAGGAAATTTATAAAACTAATGCTTTCTGTGAATAAAATGAATAAAACACGTTACTAAACTGAGAAGCTGAGTTATTATCTGTGTTTACGCGGTTCTGGTGCGATCGCCTCATGTATATGCATTTGTGACGTTACTGTATGGTTATTAGGTAAATCTAGAACAGACTGGAGTTCCTTTAATGCCCCTGCCAGCCGGAGAAGGGTTGATATGTTGGAACAATGTCTTCGAAAAGTATGCTTGATTATGATCTCGGCACCCAACATATACTAGGGTCAATTGAAAAGTCCCCGGCCTGACACGGATGGCGGCACCAGAACTAAATCCATATGATTTTCAGTTTCGGATCATTAGTTTGTGAATTGAAGCAAAAACTTGGCTTTATAACGAATTTCCGGACACTGCCCCAGGAAAATCAACCATCAAGGATTGGTATGCTAAGTTTAGACGTGGTGAAATGAGCACCGAAGACGGTGAACGCAGTGGACGCCCAAAAGAGGCTGTTACGGACGAAAACATTAAAAAAATCCACAAAATGATTTTGAATGACCGTAAATTGAAATTGAATGAAATAGCAGACACTCTACAGATATCAACGGAACGTATACATCACATCATTCACGAATATTTGGGTATGAGAAAGCTCTGTGCAAAGTGGGTGCCGCGCGAGCTCACTTTTGACCAAAAACAACGACGAGTTGATGATTCAGAGCAGTGTTTGAAGATGATCACGCGTAATAAACCCGAGTTTTTGCGTCGATATGTGACAATGGATGAAACATGGCTCCATCATTTCACTCCGAAGTCCAATCGACAGTCATCGGAGTGGACTGCACACGATGAACCCGCTCCAAAGCGTGCAAAAACGCAACAGTCGGCTGGCAAGGTTATGGCGTCTGTATTTTGGGATGCGCGTGGAATAATTTTCATTGACTACCTTGAAAAAGGAAGGACCATCAACAGCGACTATTACATAGCGTTATTGGACCGTTTGAAGGACGAAATCGCCGAGAAACGACCGCATTTGCAGAAAAAGAAAGTCCTGCTTCACCAAGACAATGCACCGTCTCACAAGTCAGTGAAAACGATGGCAAAAATTCATGAATTGGGCTTCGAATTGCTTCCGCATCCACCGTATTCTCCAGATCTGGCCCCCAGCGACTACTTCCTGTTCTCAGATCTCAAAAGAATGCTCGTTGGGAAAAAATTTTCGTCGAATGAAGAGGTGATCGCCGAAACTGAGGCCTATTTTGAAGCAAAGGACAAATCGTACTACAAAAATGGTATCGAAAAGTTGGAGGATCGCTATAATCAGTGTATCACCCTTGAAGGGAATTATGTTGAATAAAAAAAACGAATTTTGCAAAAAAAATGTGTTTTACTATTTTAGGCCGGGGACTTTTCAATTGACCTGTTATACTTAAAAATGATCAGCACTATCACCTCTACAACATACTAAAAATTTAAGGTCATCGTGTTTAGTGAAACCAAGATAATCTTGTCACATTATTCTAACATCTAACATATCAGCCCGCCTCCGACGGGCAGGGGCATTGATGCAATCCTATACGTGCAGGGGTTGGATTTAATATGCAAACACATATTAACAAGTAGAGTAGCAACCAGTTATTCTATCAGTTAAATAATTCAAAATCACTTAACTAACATAAGTGACCGAAGGGGTTATTAATATTCCCTTTATCATATCTTCTTGGTTACGTAGGGAATGAAAAGTAGCAGCTTGATAAAAATTAATAGGAAAAATAGGGGATCTTTATACGTTGCTGAATATGGAGAAGCATGTATTCAATATGTAAACATTACCGCGGGAGATGTTGCGAGTTTTATTAATGTTCGGGTTGCAGGTCGTATTTTAAATATTCCGCTTGATTAATTTTCGGGGCTAGTTTGCGAATGTAATGACGCGCCTTTATGAGCCCCGGGGCAGTCTCTTTAAACGGCCAGAGTGTTAAATTTGTAAGCGTCGCGACGGGCCGCGTCGCGCCAGGACAAACTATTAAAATTTTATAATGCCTGCAAAGCACATAACGGCTTTAATGCAGGCACGTTTTTAAGAGCCTTCTGCGGCCCTGGGTTATTTTCCCTACAGCAAAAGTTATTGCCCACGGGCTCATTGCTTAACACGCATACATACATACATACTGTGCAAGTGCATGTATGTGCAAGACTTGCGATGAATAGCAAAATAGGTTTCCACGTGGAATGAGATGAATGAGACACATGAAGCCCCCCTGTTTACACTGACACATTGAAAATTCACATTTTGCAGTTAGTATTCGTCTACCACAATTACGTAATATGTGCTTGACATTTACTAAAAGTACGTACTATACTTCATCCAATGTCTTGGATGCGCGCTGACAAAATCGTAGGTACAGAGAAAAAAGCTCATTATACTCTGGACTCTTGTTCATTAAATATACGTTTTCATACAGTACCTGCCAAAAGTTTTGTTCAATCATGAATAGCAGTGCGAGTTGAAAACAAGCGTTAAAGCCTTTAATATGTCTCAAATATAAATGGTACCAATAACAGCACATTTCAGCAATGCAATTGTAGTGGATAAAATGGTCAATTTTTCCGTGCAGTATTGTACGGATTATACGCTTCTCACCGGTTAAGAGTTTGGCCGAGAGTTGTCTCTTCCTTTTCTGGTCTAGTGCTGTTCTTTTCTACATTGCGCCGATTAAACTGAAGGACACATCGCTACAGAAAGTAAACGAAGTAGACCAAGCTTCTCATCTCGAAATCGATAATGCTCCTCTTCTGTATCTATCGAAAAATTAAATTTTTTGTGTGCAATCTACCAATAAGTATATTTTTTCAAAATTTTATTACATAATTGTATATTCGTATTTTGTTGTGTAGTGTAAATTTTGTCCTCTTGTATTTTTTATTCTTAGTAATTAAATCATCACCATAGTGACACGCATCTGCACTCTTTCCTATCCTGTTTTAATCTTAAGCATTTCTTTAAAATTAGAACATTATTTCACATTGTTAACTATTTATGAACAGTAATCTAATCTAGGTATTCCTCTACGCCTCTTAACTTCTGTTTCTGCTTCTAATTTGTCTCCAAGTAGCCCTTCATGCCTAAGAAAGCGTTCTACCGACTAGTACTGCAACGAAAGTGTCATAACGGAAACAGAAGTAATTAGTAAATTTTTGCGGAAGCAGAGATGAAAGCGGATGCAGAAGCGGAAGTATACTGATTTTTTTTTGGCTTCAAAATTCCACTTTTAACTTAAAACTTACTACTCTGAGCAAACAATATACAAAATAAAAAAACAATATGACTGTGTTGGTTGGTTTAGGCCCTAAACTATAGTAAAGTTTTGTTTTTTGCCGGCTATAACGCTACATTGACGCTAATACTTTTTAAACAGAAACGGTTGATAATAATACATTCACAATGTTGCATTGGGGTCGCTGAAAGCTGGCGTAGGTATCTGCCCAACATGCAAAGTTGCAACAAGCAATTCCATTAAAATTATTTTTTCAAAACGGTCAAGTTTAGCGAACAGATAAAAGTAATAAATTTTTACGACTTGTCTTATTGCTCCGATACATTGATTTTAAACACGATGAGAAATAAGATTTTGTAAAGTTCCGGTAAGCTTCCATTTTAAAAATGCGCAACCAGATGCAAAGACGGATGTAATAAAGTATGCGTAACTTCCGTAATTATGGAAGCAGAAGTAGAAGTCTGTTGCAAATNAAGCGTTCTACCGACTAGTACTGCAACGAAAGTGTCATAACGGAAACAGAAGTAATTAGTAAATTTTTGCGGAAGCAGAGATGAAAGCGGATGCAGAAGCGGAAGTATACTGATTTTTTTTTGGCTTCAAAATTCCACTTTTCACTTAAAACTTACTACTCTGAGCAAACAATATACAAAATAAAAAAACAATATGACTGTGTTGGTTGGTTTAGGCGCTAAACTATGGATAGTAAAGTTTTTTGCACAAGGACAATATTATTATTAACAATATATTGCCGGCTATAACGCTACATTGACGCTAATACTTTTTAAACAGAAATGGTTGATAACAATACGTTCACAATGTTACGTGGGGGTCACTGAAAGCTGGCGTAGGAACCTGCCCAACATGCAACGTTGCAACAAGCCATTCCATTAAAATTATATTTTGAAAACGGTCAAGTTCAGCGAACAGATAAAAGTAATAAATTTTTACGATTTGTTTCATTGTTCCGATATATTGATTTACATGAGAAATAAGATTCCAGCCCTGAGTTAGGAGATATGTTAGAGAAGGAAGATAGTGTAGAAATAGATGAACTTGGTTATCCCATAATGAGAGAAGAGTTCGATGTAGCCTTAAAAAATTTAAAGAATAATAAGGCGCCAGGTGTAGATGGGATACAGGGGGAAATTCTAAAACATGCAGGACAAGAGGTTAGAGATCGTATGTTTAAGTT